GGGTCCTGCGGAGAAGGGGTGCACGCCAGGGTCTGAAGGGGGTGGAGCTGGGCGCCCCCGGGTCCTGGGGAAGGAAGGGAGGGGCCAGGGCTGGCCAAAGGGTCAGGGTCCCCGCAGCAGCAGCAGCAGCAGCAGCAGGGCAGGGGGCTGAGCGCGCCCAGGCCCTGAGCGTGCATGAGGGGCCGGTGCACAGGACGGTGGCAGGCTAGGTCGGGCCGCAGGTTTGGGATGGTCTTGGCCCCCTCCTTCCAGTTCTATATGCTGGAGCACAACGTGGAGGCTGTGGCCCGACACATGCTCATCTTCAGCCTCGCTCTGGAGGACCCTGAGAAGATGGGGCTGCAAGGTCAGTGGGGACAGTCCAGGCATCTGACCCCACCCTCAACCTCCCTACGGGGTTCCCGCCTCACTGTGTAGGCCCAGGCTAGCCTTGAACTCGAAGCAATCCTGCCTCAGCCTCCCAGGTGCTGGGTTTACAGGCTTGCACCAGCATACCAACTTTATGTTTCATTTTGAGATAAGGTTTCACTCAGTCTCTAAGTTTCCCAGGCCAGGCTCAAACTTAGCCATCCTCCTGTCTCAGCCTCCCACAGCGCTGGGTTTAAAGTGTGCACGGTGGTGTACACCTATTTCATCTTGAGCCTCAAAACTTTTCCCCAGCAAAATGAGGCCTGATGTCATCCTTCCTAGAAGCACAGATAATTCTAGGAGAAAATTCACAGGACACCTCAGAGCAGCGCATGACAGACACCACGTGAGCCCCATGATGCTCCTATGGGCAGTGTCAGCTGCTCCCAAGAGCCTCATAGGGCGCAGGGAGACAGCAGCTTCAGCTGTGCGCCTGGAGAGAGGCCCAAAATCACAGGGGCTGCTGACAGATTCCTGCTCTGCTTGCTGTGTGGCCAGGGGCAGGGCCTACCCCTTCCTGGGCCTCATCTCCATATTTGTCAAAGTTCCCAAACAACTCGGCTTGGTGGTACAGCACAGCCTCTGGGAGGCAGAGTTGGAGACAGAGGCCAGAGGATCATAATTTGGGCAATTTAGCAAGACCTTGTCTCAAAATAAAGAAACGTTTTATTTTGTTGTTTTTTTTTTTTTTGAGTCAGGGTCTCAACTTGCAGTTCAGGTTGGCTCTCAGCTGTGTATCCCAGACTGGCTCGAACTCAGGGCAATCCTCCTGCCTCAGCCTCCCAAGTGCTGGGACCACAGGCATGTGCCACCGCACCCGGCTAATAAAATATTCTTTTTTAAAAGAGGACTGGGGGGCCAGGGATTTAGCTTTAGGGGTTCTGCTGCCTGCCTTGCAGGCGCAAGGTCCCAAGTTCAATCCCCTGTACCAAAAAATAAATTAATAAATAAATAAAATTAAAAGGGGGCTGGGAATGTAGCTCAGTTTGAAGGCCCAGGGCTTAATGCTCGGTATGGCAAGGAAATAAAAAGTTCCTCCACCAATAGGATTCCCCTGAGGATTCAGGGCCCTTGTTGTCTGATGTCAGCTCCATGCATTTGAGAAATCTTTGCAAACTATCATAAGGATCGATGGTCATTGCCATTAGTAGCCCAGGGCATTCAGAATTCATTGCCCAGTGCACCTTCTTTAAGATTCTTAAGCTAAGCTTGTCTATAACTAAACCCCCGAAGTTCCTTCTATAACTAAAATCTATATGCATGTATCATCTACCTCTATCTCACAATATATATGTGTGCTTATAAGTGTATGGTACACATATAATATGCAAGCAAAGGTATATTGTCCTCTCAAGATTTTTGTAGATAGAGGAGTGTAGTGGTGCATGCTTGTAATCGCAGCATTCTGGAAGCCTGAGGCAAGTGGATGGCAACTTTGGCTGTGTGTGTGTGTGTGTGTGTGTGTGTGTGTGTATGTGTGTGTGTGTATGGGGGATTGAACTCAGGATCTTGCATTTGTGAGGCAGGCGGCAGCACCACTGAGCTAAATCCCTGGCCCCATGGATGGCAAGTTTTTTGTTTGTTTGTTTTGTACCGGGGATTGAACTTTGGTCCTTGAGCCTGCAGGGCAGGCCACCGAACCGCTGAGCTAAATCCCCGGCCTGGATGGCAAGTTTGAACCCAGCCTGGGCAATTTAGCAAAACCCTGTCTCAAAATAAATAAATAAATAAGGGCTGAGGATGTAGCTCAGCGTAAAGGCCCTGGGTTCAATCTCCAGAGCCACAGGCAAAACCAAAACCAAATTCAAGCAATTCAATAGTATGGCATTTAGAAAGGCCGATCTCTGTCTACAGTTCAGACACTCTGCAGGTTTTTTTTTTTTTTTTTTTTTTTTTTTGAGACAGCGTCTCACCTAGGTAGTCGAGACTGACCTGGAACTCACTATGTAGCCCAGGTTGGTCTGGAACTTACAGCGATCCTCCTGCCTCAGCCTCCCGAGAGTGCTGGAATTACAGGCGTGTGCCACCATGCCCAGCTTCTTTGCAATTTTTAAAGAGGGTGATCTTAAACAGGACAGGGGCGGGGGACAGGCGGAGACGGGGTCGGGAGGGCGTGGTCTTCCGCAGGGCAGTTCCGCGCTCCTGCGCCCAGAGCCCAATTCCAACGCCCCTCCCTCCTGTCCTCAGAGCGGAGCGAGGCCTTCCTG